AATAATACATTCAAGATTTGCCGAATAGCCAAGACGAGGATAAGGATTTGTTTTGTGCTATTCATGAGGGATATCAACAAGCTTGGGATTTGGCAAAAGTTCTTTCAATGGTTAATCAAGATGATGATGTTTTGGACTTTTTGAATATTTCTAATGGGCGATTGAACCAGTTAGATGATAAAAATGATGATTTTTTTGACTATTTTAATGATTCATTACAAAGCAATGAAGTATCAAATTCACATGCAATTTCAGCATCAGCAAGTACTGTAGCTAATTTTAATACTATAGAGATTCATGATGATGATATTGAAACCGATTTAAGAGATGCATGTTTTGAGTTAAATTTTTTATTGCTAAATACAACTTCTTCAAATAATTACGATTTAGAAATAAATAAAGACTTTTATACTGGCATTATCAAAGCAGAAACTTTAGATGTTTCTTACTTAGTTAGTTTACGAAAAAGTCATAAATGTTATAGTAGCCAGGATATAGAGCAAAAGGCTATTTGTAGAGTTCAGAATTTTAATCATACAAGCACCATTTCTCCAAATTTGATAAGCAATCTAATTGCAAATCATATGTCAAATATTAAAATATCATGAACTGAGAAATTACGTGGAATTCGGTGGAAAAATCGTTATCGTTTATCTATATTATCAAATACAAATAAGAAAGTTGGTAAGTGATAAATTATAAAAAATAGTTCTAATCAGTGTTTAAAATAGAGCTTCAATCCTTAATCTGACTATCTGAATTGATCTTTAAATTCAGATAGATTCAGATATTTAGATCAGAGATTTTTACTCAGATTGGTCAAAGAACTTAATTAACGAACCTAAGGATATGCTATAAAGCTAGCTTAATATGTAATCTAATGTGGATTCAATCCAGATTTAATAGAATCTGGATTGCCTGTCAAAAATAGGATCGAAGCTCTAGTTTAAAATTATATTAAGTTATATTGAATATTTTTTGAGAATATTTTAAATAAAATATTCTTAAAAAAAAATTAAAAACTCATTGAGAACTATGAGAATACTAAATTTTAAATACTGATTCTAAAGCTTATTTAATAAATTATTTTTAAAATTTAGATCTAAATGGAATAACCGTCGCTAATATCAATGAGCATAATCCTCTTCGCAAGCATGGATATAGATTTTCTTATATTAATCAGGAACTCTGTCTTGTACAAATTTTGGCACTATATCAGAAGAATTCTAACTATCATTCTTATGTGTGTAGTGACGTATTCAATATAGATTCATTATCTTATTTATCGGTAAAGGTTTTTTTTCTACTTCAAAATAATATTTTTTCATCTTTGGCTAATTCTGGACACATGGTTTTTAGCCATATTAGTGCTAAGTTTTTCATTTATTTTCTTGGATTTGGTGATTTTATTCATATTAATGAGCAGCATAATTTGATAACTCTTTTTGGAAGGGCTTTAGAGTTGTATAAGTTTTTTAATGAACACTCTACGAAGAATTTGCTATGAATTATTATTCATTCTGAAGTAGAAAAAGATTAGATTTAACGAATATCATGTAATAAATCGATAAAATAATAAATTCTCTAAGTTGATTCTGCTATCTTAGCAGATTTTGATTGGTTTGGAATAGATTCAAAATATATCCTTTTTTGAATTATAATGTCGTTTAATTATTTATCAATCAAAGTATTTAAGGTAAGCTATTACCTCATATTTAATTTGCTATTTATAGTAATTTTGCCAAAATTTTTTTAAAAAATTCAATTTATCAATTAAAATAGTTAAAATACTCAACATTTATCTAATTTCTATTGAATTAGTAGTGATTTACCAAAATTCGAATATATATATATATATATATATATATATATTAAAAAAAAAGGTATTTACTATTTAATTTTACTTAATTTCTTTGATTTAAAATAAAAGTGAAGTATTAAAATTGCATGTTGATTAAGACATAAAGTCAAAATTTTGAATCACGCAAATGTTAATATAAACTCTTAAGAGAGTGTTGCTTTTTTAACCTAATTTGGGATTAGGACCTGGCGTTGTTTTTAATAATGCAATAATAAATTATATAAGTTATCATTATATATAAATTTGATTCAAATTTTTATTGAATTTGTAAATCATTATAATGAAAAAAATATATATAAACTTATGTCGTGCAAAGCATTTGCAAATTATGTGTGTGATATATGTAAAATATTTGGTTTACTAATAATTAAAATTAAAGTATAAATTTAATGATTTTTACTGAGCCTAAAAAGTATTTTATCATAAAAAAAAATAATTTTAAAATACTGTGCTCAACTAAACAAATGCTGCAATTTGTTAAATACTGCGCTTAATTAAACAAAATCAAAGTCAAAAATCGGCATTAAATTCAAATGCTCTACTAAACAAAAGCTGCAATTTGTTAAATACTGTGCTTAATTAAACAAAATCAAAGCCAAAAATCGTTATTAAATTCAAACGCTCTACTATTTAATTAAATTCTTTTTGGACCTATATTAAAAATATTATTTTAAAAGATGAATTTATTTATTTTATACTTTAACGTATTAATTTAATATACTATATACTGTATAGAATATTATAAATACATATTACAATACTAAAAATTTAAAATAAATGCGTATAAATCACAATTTTCATGTCTGATTCTTGTAACACAATATTTTTCGAAGATACATACATATATATAGGTTATATAATTAAATCAGGCATATAAATCATAAATCGAAAGGTACAAGACTTAAAATAGGCAAAAATAGGATGTTTAGAGTGAACAAAATGCCTGATAATTTACTATTAACCCAACTCGTACCTCTATTAGTATTATCCGGGGTCCTACATAGGTAGAATTACTTAATTAGGTACCCAAAAGGTGCAGATATGGCTAGAATGTATCCTCTTCAAAATGTACTTGTCTGGGGCAGGGATGGTAAATGACCTGAAATGACCCAAATGACTCAAATGACAAATGACCAGTCATGAGTCATTTCAAAAGCCAAATGACCTTAGACGGTCATTTAACATTCGTTAATTGATAATCTAACAACTTTTA